CACGAGCCCTTTAAAGAAAAGGTATTCGCTAAAATTGATGGTTTTCCCTGCAAAGTGAAAAAACTGTTTTCCTCACTTATTTGTTTAAATAGAAAAGTTAGCTAATAAACGTTTTTGACTCACGAGACGAGAGATGTCTTGTATTATGTTCCTTTAGACAATTTTACAAAAATCTACCGGATAGGACTTTTTTCGAGTAAAAATTTAATTTGCTTGATCTATATAAGTACTTTTAAATATTGCAATAATTTGTTGTACTTTTTAAATTGAAAATAGGTACATTATGTGTAAAATTTAATTACGAATATTTTTTTCCACTTCAATTTTTTCTCTAAAATGAATAGTTTTTGAACTGTGCTGAAAAAAGAAAAAAAAATTGAATTTTTTCCAATTTTTTCACTATTTGTTTAATAATAAGTTTAGCACACGTCTTAAAGCGAGCGCATAGTGAAATTATGTTTTGTTATATCGTTTTGGAGCCATTAAAACAAAAATTAGCGATACTATATAAAACATCTACACGAAAACAGATCCCGCCTGTCTGTAAGTATTATCTACCAGTCGAGGACGATTTTGCGCCCGAGTGGAGCGAGGGCCTAGCAATAGAGTCCGAGACTAGTAAATTATACTTAACTGCTGTGGGGTGTATAACATTTTATCTGCTCTTATAGTTCTTTATGGTTCATGAAATACAGATTAGGTTTTATTTTTTGACATTTCTTATTCAATTCATTTCGACATTATTCGAAATCTTGCAAAGTCGCCTTGGTTGTTTGGATTTTGTCGTTTCTAAGGTAAGCATATTTCATGGAGAAGTCACGAACTTTCAACTCGCCGGCGAGTTTGTGTAGTGATTTTTGATGGCAATTTTCGAAAAAAGTCTCTTTCGTTCCAGTTAACTGGTGTCTTTTAGGAAACAAAATTAAAATATTAACATTCTATAATTTATCGAAAAAAATAACATTCAGCCGATTTGATATTAGAGTTCTGAGAACGAAAACAGACATTTTCAAAACTTTAACAACCTGTATAGCACGCTAATTTCCTAATGTGTAATATCAGCATGTCCAATGTATGACCTCGGATCGAAACGCCTTAAAAAAAGGAACACCTTGACAAATTATTCCGTGAAGTCTAACAAACACAGTACGTTATAGGCATCTATCGATTATTATATCGTTTTTTAGGGTCTACAACCGTGCTCTATATTTAACTTGCCCATAAATACAAGTCATCAATTCGCTGTAAATATTCCAGCATTTACGTGACAGATCTCCGGATATATCAAACAAACATTAAAAAGTGCTTAACCATAAATACTGGCAACAATTTATTTATCGTTATTTTGTTCATGTGTTTGCAATAATAATCCATTATTTGTAAGCGCCAACGAAGGCGAAACCATGCACTCAAAGAACCATTCATAAATTGTCTCGATATAGATATACATATATACCGGGTAGGAAAGTACCGATGGTCTATCTGAAGTTACGTGAGAACGATAAAGAAAGTCATAGAAATCCGTGCGATAGAGAAAGATGGCTATAATGAAGGCGTCTAATAGTCACCGCCCATTTCGCCCTTCCACAAATAAGATCCACTTCTTATTTGTAGAAGGGCGAAATGGGCGGTGATTATTAGACTCCTTCACTATGCCCATCGTTGTCTATCACATGGATTTCTATGGCTTACTTTATCGCTCTCACGTAACTTCAGATAGACCATCGGTACTTTCCTACCCGGTATATACAGATATACAGGCTGTTGTGTCACGTTGTGATGAAACTCCCCAATATTAGTACCCGCTGTTCATTTATGATTACTCTGCCTCATGCTAAAGTAATGGCAGTCAAACTTCTTAAACTTTGTATAGGCTTAAGGAAGTTTTTAGCGATTATATTTTAGCCAGCAAGCTATATTCATTAGAAAAATAAAGTCGTTGTAATAATTATATCATATATTGCAGTTTTTCTTACGTATTATAACCATATTCGATGACGACGTGATTTACTAGATATTCATGACGATACTTTCTCATAAAGAAGCTCGATTCCTTTCCTGTGTCTATTTGCAGATAGACAGGATGATTCAGTCATAATGTCATTAATTTTTCGGACTACAGAGCGTTCTAACTTTGAAGAGAAACAGCTGATTTCCTCAGTCGTCTTGAATTTTGCAATTGGTTTTAAAATCAAACTGCAGCGAATCTCAACTTTATTTATTAACAAAGTGCTATGGAGCTATGAGCGTCGTTTTAGCCGCACTGGCATTTTAAATAGGGAGGTATTAAACTCATTGAAAAGCAATAAGTCACTAAGTATACATACCACAAACTCAATAATTAATTCAACATGATAGGTACAAAAAAATTACAAAATGTAGTGAAAACGTTAACAATATTAAAAATACTAAATTGTAATAAAACCTAACATTCGAAAAGAATTATTATCGTTATACATTTGCTTCCATTAACAAATTAATAATACATACTTCTTAATATTTAAAATGTAAAAAAATCTTGTATCTAGGTAAAAAAAAATGCAGTATTTTTTTTACACGCATATTCGTATTCTATTCATTTTTCCTTATCTTCCCTTAAAATTAATGACATTATGACTAAATCACCCTGTATAAGGAGTTCCATTTAAGCTGGATTTTTTCATAGCTCTGGTAATATCAATAAAAGATGCACGAAATCAATTTGTTCAAGTTTTAAAATTACTTTCCATCATAGAGGATGTCCAATCTCTTTTGGGCGCTATCTAACTATATTTTCTCAAAAAAAGCTACCGTTAAAGTCATGGTAAACAATGCAAATTTATGTTGCGTATATTTTTCCTCTTATTAAATTGCTTAAACATTTTTACATAATAAATACCATAGTTTATTTTTTGAAATTGCCACAATTTTTTAATGCATGATGCCATGACATAAAATTTTCCAGTAAAAACACTTAAATGTACGTAAAATTTTACACCATCACCAATTCTTGAAATACACTTTATGTCATTTTTTACGACATATTTATTGAATACTCGAAAAAAAGGAAGTACAGTTCACCTCTATATTGCATTATTCGTGACTTACGTCATTCCTGTAAATAAGGTACCTCCTAAGGTATTTTCTCAGTATCGATAAAAAGTTATCCTCAGAAAAAGAGGTGCCGAATAAAAATTCTGGCTGCGAGACGTCTATAAATAACTTCGCAAGGTGACTATCAAGTACGTATTATGTATAAAAATTTGTAACACCGTAATTGTGTTAATGGAAAAATTGTTCTACTGTCGTGGGTGATTTGGCTATGTTGTGTCACGGTAAAATTTGATCCTCGCGTAAACAACCAAGATATGCTGCTGCCTTTGTTTGAAGTATTGTGGATGTAAGAAATATTCTCTATTGTTTTTAATCTCTCAAAAATATGTACCCACACCCACAGTTATACTTTTTTTAATTTAATAAATAAAATGCTGAGGATAATATGTTAAATAATAAAACTATTATAAGTCCTGCAAATTAATTTTAGCATTTTTAAGGTACCTGTATCCACAAGTAAATAATTAAAATATTAACTTTATATACAAAATATATATTCAGCAAATTGAACGAATAAATGCATGTTTTATCGTAGTGTTAAGGATCTTCGTCTTGTGGTCTTAAAAATTCCCGAATCCTATGAATGAAATAATAGTACAATTTTTATTACAAACGTATTTTGTGTAGCGACATCTACAGGAGTTTTGTTGTGCTTCGTTAGACGAAATGGGGTTCCAAATTCTATTGGCTTTACCAAACGTATAATAACTGAAATCAAATAGCAATATTATCCGAAAAACAAGACAAAACTCAGAATCTTTGGAATAACGATTTTAGTCATTTCATTCGAATGTAAATTCTACACTAAACGCTTCACAGGAAATTTACCATAAAATATATAGAACGTAATAATAAGTACCAGCGAAAGTTAACAAAATAATAACTCCTTAATCATGAGGAAAGCGGCTGTAGAAAATAATTAACAGTAACAATAACATTTACATGTTTGCCTCTGATCTGAAGCTTCGCATCGATCAATTTATTCGATACGACGCCCTAATGCCTACCCTGTCGGCCTGGAGTACCGGTGAACGAAGTTTTTTTCTGAGGAACGTTGACCGTACATTTCATTGTCGTTTGTGCGTGTGTGAGTTTGACGATTTGCTTGGTCGAGTGTATGGCACGTTTTTGTGGCAGTCAGTAGCATTGTGTATCGTGAGCATAGAGCGGTACACGGCTTGATCACAGATTTAGCCTATTTCTGCTACTACAACGCGTATTCCGGCTTACTCGTATTACATAGATTACTACTGTTTATTTATTTGACTGTCGCCACAAAGTTTCCGACGTTTAATAATTTATAACAAAATACATTGCCACCAATGAATATTGAATAAACTACCTAAGGCGCTTGGAAAACGATAGCAAAGTAGTAATAAAACTGTAATCAGTTCTTCACATTTATAATTTTAGCATTTTTAAATATTATCTACTTTAATAGTCTTTCTCGCACATGTAAAAAATTCTGATTACGGCCCTGCTCAGGACTTCTACACCGAAAACAAATGCCGACAACAGAACAGAGTGAAACTGCTTATGTCGCGTTTGTGTTTGTGTTAGTATCTACCACAGGTATCTACTTACTTTCAGCTGCGATCTTGTAGCATTTTGGGCCAATCACGCTGTCCAACAGACCAGCGCTTGCGCACTCCTCGGTGTTGTAAGTGAAGGAGGTCAGGCCCCAAGAACAAGTGGCGCTGTCTTTGGAGTTGCAATTGTAGCATTTGAGTGCATTAGCTGGAAAAAAAAATAGATTAACAACTGTACCTACAGATAAGATAAAATACAGCAAACTTTCACACCTTTTTTAAATGCGTTAAAGAGAAATACAACCTGCCGCATTGATACATACAGAGATATTCATATACCGGTTCCAGTGGCGGAGTTACAAGCTGAACTAGGGGTAGTTAATTGTACCCAAGAAATTTTTGGATATAGTCCAAAGTCTAAGATTTTAACGATGTAGAAATCGAAATATTTAGTTATCTTTAAAGTATTACCATACGTGAGATAGTAGATTAATTTTAATACTATACTCCGCGGTCGAAATTATAGAGTGATTCATACATAATATAGAAACACTATTACCGTAAAGTGTATAAAACTTAAAATGATTTTTATAACGGTTCAATATTATTTGCTTATGTTAAATGATGTACCGCTCTCTTTGCACATCGATAGGATCTATAACAGTCATAGACTGAGTTACACTGAACGCGATTTATATCCTATCTCTGTCTATCGCACTTATTACAGATAGGGAAATGCTCTTTTTAGTGGGTGTAAACGGACGTACGTAGAATTCGAGTTAGCCGTAGTTAGAAACGTCAAACTACAAGCGCGCGCGAGGGTTTGCATATTCCGTGACTATAGTAAATTTATAAATTAAAAAAATACAATCGGGACGTTTTAAAACGTAGGAATAATAATTAAAATGGATCAAAGTGCCGGTTGTAGCAAACGGTTTGTTGCTCATAAACGCCCTAACCTATGCGATGCGGAATTAATAATGGTAAAAAACGTGTATAAAGGAATTCGGTCGCGAAATTCTAATACAAGTGTAAGTGAAGCTGTTGATATGTGTAGTTCGTTGACAAAAGTATCCGTTGCTACTGTTTATCGCGCCATAAAAAATAGTGTAGAAGTAATCCAAAGAAGAAAAAAGTGGAAACACGAGGGAGGAAGAAAATAGAAGTCGACGTTGACGTGAAATACTCCATACGTAGGAAAATTCATGGATTTTTCTTTAGAAATGAAATACCAACGATAAAGAAAATTCAAGCTGCAATAGCTGAAGATGAGGATATTCCTAATTTCTCTGATAAGGTTCTTAGAAGAATAATGCGTGAAATGAATTTTCGATATTTGAAACGGAATCGGAATAGTATGCTCGTTGAAAAAGACGAAATTGTAGTATGGCGAAGAAAATACTTAGAAAAAATAAGAGAACTTCGTGCATCTGGTAAGAAGATATGTTATATGGATGAAACATGGGTAAACGAAGGTCATACTGTATCAAAAGTTTGGCAGGATGGTAATGTTAAGAGTAAGAGACAAGCATTTTTAGATGGATTTTCTACTGGATTAAAGGCACCTTCTGGAAAAGGACGAAGATTGATTATAACACATATTGGAAGCGATATGGGATTTTTAGAAAATGGTTTGCATGTATTTGTGTCACGAAAAACGGGAGATTATCATGAAGATATGAACAGCGACGTGTTGAAAAATGGTTTGAATATGTTTCATCATATCTGGAGCCAGGAGCAGTTGTTATGATGGATAACGCACCTTATCATAATAGAAGGGTTGAAATGTTACCGACATCAGCATGGAGAAAAGGAAATAATATGGACTGGTTACAATCGAAAAATATTGAATATACAGAAACCATGCTAAAAGTACAATTATTAAAAATTGTCCAAAGAGAAAAAGGTCAGTACATTAAGTATGTAGTGGATGAGATGGCCAAAGATCGAGGAATTTGTGTACTCCGTTTACCGCCATACCACTGTGAATTAAACCCAATTGAGTTTGTTTGGGCACAAATAAAGAATGAAATCGCACGAAAAAACACCACCAATAAACGACGTGAAATTATTATTACAGGATGCAATTAATCACGTCACTGCTGAAACATGGTGTAAGTGTATTGGACATGCACAGAAAGGGGAACAATGTGGGATCTTGATACAACGGTAGAAGTGTTCATAGAACCAGTCATTATTCATTTGGGTGAAGATGATTCTAGTGATAGTGATAGCAACAGTGATATGTGAAATATATAATGTGAATAATGTGATATGTAAGTATTTAAATATATTAATAGTGAAGTGAAAGTGTGACAGTGATAATATTCCTGAGATAATTAGTATTAAATATGTGAGTACCTACTTAAATAAATATATTAATAGTACACATTACAATATTTTGCGGCGGCGTAAGCCTGGTGGTGGTGGGTTATCGATGCCCAAGAGGGCATCGTTTTACAGAAAACACTTAAAATTTAAAAACAAAATGTTACTAAAATGTTTTTGAACTTTTCTCGATAAAACCTCTAAAAATAATGGATGTTATGTTTTATTATATTTTTTCCATATTTTCTACATCTTGTTGCCTTTTACGTATACACGCCTATGGATTTTCGATCCCCGCACGCCTCATCCACATGTGATAATTTCCGTTTGTAATCTCCGAACAAAGAAAATAATAATAGCAGGTGATTAGTTTGAATTACAAAATTTGTTCAATTGAAATAAAAAATAAGTAGTCATATCATATCACTGAATGTATGTCTTTTTAACACGTAGAAATTAAAATATGAATATGACAGTTCTTAAGGAAACAAATGTTTGGCTGCCAGTCTGTCTACCAACTACATACAGATTTTATTCACTTTAAGCTATGATATATACCCATATGCGACACAGTGGATAAACCACTTTTTTAATCTATATCGACCTACGACCTATTTCTAACCGCCCTTGTGTTACATCTAAATTATATTTGATTTCCTCCCACGGCGATGATGCCTGGCATCGTCAACTTTTGAATTTATTTCCACAAAGTGATTTATTTTAACGAGTACTGACCGTTATTTACTTTTTTTGGGGTTTGTAAAAAGTGCTTCATTCTAATAAATCTAATCCAACTATTTTCTGCGACCCTGACTGGCCACAAAACTTGACTGGGCGATTGCGGTACACTTTTCGCAATGACAAGATCACCTTGGAACAGATTCCCGCGTTGTTTTTGTTTACAACCTCGCCAATCTCTGATGCGGTTTGTTACAGTCGATAATTGATCGGCTCCTTGGTACAGGATAGCGTACGGAAAAAACTACATGTCCCAACTGGCAATGAATTATACCCCCAATAACCAATAAACGGTAGAAGTAAGTAGTTATCCAAAATAAAAACTAAAAATGATTTGTCTGAGTAGGAATAATTAATACAAAAACACATACCTGATATACTGAAATTATTAAATAATGCAATTACATATTTTAGCCATACCCTTATACAGGTCTGGTCCAACTAAACGTGGAGGTGGTAGCAATGTATACGCCCAATTGAAGAATGCGTGCGCGAGTAATTGGCGCACAAACAGCTGCACTGAGCGACTGGGCCATAAATTTTAGTTGTTGACAAATTGTCTAGCAGTGCAGTGCAGCAATGCGGAATTTGGTGTGATCTACGAATTACTGGCCGAATGGCTTTTTTTCCTGTAAAATGAACCAAAATAAACACCTATTGTTCTTTGACACAAATTCGAAAAATGCTTCGTTTCCGAGATATTTACAATTTAATGTGAAAAAAGTGACGAAATCGACAAATTTTCGGAATTTTTTTTATCAAAAACTACTGAACAGATTTTAATTCTAAAAAAACATAATAATCGGCAGAATTTCTACTTGATATATTTTTTTGGTATGGGTCAATCATTTTATTGAAGGTCTAAAGCGAGTAAAAAAAGTCTTTTAACGAAAATTATGATAACACTTCAAATTAAAATTTTCTTTTTACAATATATTGTATTAGATTATATTTACAATAAACATTATTATGATTTTTTTAAATTGATATATGTTAACAGTACAAATGTTCGAAAGATCATTTTGTTTGGTTTTGTAGCCGGAGTAAGGTTTTTGCAAGTAATTAGTAAATTTTAAATATTCGATTTTTGGTTTTATAAATGGCTAAAATTGACTTGAAAGTTATACCAAAACTAAACTAAATAAGCTTTTTAAATCGTAAAATTAACCTAATAATAATAATTGACCTAGCTTTTATTTTTATTTTAAAATATTAGGCGCAATAAAAGTACATATATTAATTTCTTTTTTAAATAATAAGTTTTTCGTTATTTTCGACAAGTTCTTGAGTTGAAATAAGCGTGTCATCATCAATTTCGGATGGAACATTCTGAGAGGTTCGATGACAAACAGTTACAATTTTCCACTACATGAACAAAAATATTTTTGAAGCATATCTAATGCAGTTTCGCCTCCGAAATAATTAAAATCCAAACAACCATTTTCGATTTTCCATCCATGTGTCAATGGATCAAGAGTTACAATTTCACTATTTGTTTTGATAAATAATTGACCTATACCAAAAAAATATATCTGAAAGTAGATCTGCCGATTATTATGCTTTTTTTAAAAATTAAAGTGTTCAGTGGTTTTTGAGAAAAAAAAAAATCCGAAAGTTTGTCGATTTCATCACTAAATTGTAAATATCTCGGAAATGAAGCATTTTTCGAATTTTTGTCAAAGGACAAAATATGTTTAATTTGGCCCGTTTTACAATAAAAAGACGTTCGGCAAGTAATTTCTTTTTACTACAACATTTTTGTTTATAACAATTGACTGACCACGCCGAAAAATATTTAAAAAATATATAAATTATCAGAAAAATACACTTTATAAAATAAAAGTTTCATGTTGTAGGTTTTTGTTTTAAAAATTTAGTCGGTTACCTTCATTTAGAAGCATCTTTTTAGGGGTGAACCGCTCGCCTAATATTACAATTGCGAAAGGGAGAAATAAGGGGGATGTTTTATTTACTATTATTACAACATGGCATTTTGGAGACCTTTTGAAACGGAACAAAATGGAATTTATCATCAAACTGTTTGAGAAATTTTCTACACATTATATACAAATTATTATTTTTTACCTTTAGCAAAAAGCTTTTTTAGGTACGACTAAGAAACTCATTAAATTTTTTTGCTAG